GATAAGGAGCCATCTGCTTTTTAACGGTTTCTCATCCCTACTTCCCCCTCCTCCCCCTTTTACAATGGCAGAACCGCAGCATGTAAAAAACCATTTTTTTTTCTTTTTAAACTGGCCATCTAATAATCTATTATAAAATCTTGTGAGGATTCTGACACTATCGTTCATGTTAGATGATGAAGAAGAAAAAGCAGAGATCAGTAAGGATTCTGTGCTTGACAGCTCCAGTATTCTACATGGACCTTATTTATCTCTCTTTTTTAATTCAGGGCAAAGCAGCAAAGCAAAGTTAAGCATTTTCTGATACAGTGTAGGAGGAGAGCTGTGTCTGTTTAGCCTAGCAAGAAATCAGAAGGGGTCTGGTAGCAGGGCTAACAAATTTTATCCAAATGCCTAAGCTTTCATGAACTGCATAAAGGCTTATGCCTTTTGATAACATGTGTTAATCGGAAAAGATGTTACCATCCTCCTCCTGATTTTTTGCCCATATACAACTTAGCTGTTATACTGAATTTTGTCACCAAGGTAGATAGATCACTTGTCTGAGGTAGCATTGCCTTACATGTCTACTCAGAAGTAAACACCATTGAGTTCACCTCCTGAGTGGTGCTGCACACCGGATCCAAACCAAGCCAAGGAACTAGTTATTATATCCCACAGTTTTGAGGGGGGAAGAGTTACCATTCCCAGGAAAATCAGGTGGGATTATACCCAGGGACAGTTGAACTGAGAACAATATTACTCAACATCAAGTGAAATAAAATGTCCTCATTCTGATAGGAAAGTAAAAGGTGTTTCAGTGTTCCCATTGAAATTAGTGGGACTTCCAAGTCTTTCACCGTGACTGGATAGTGCCACTACATTCTGCAAATCCAAAGCATAGCCAGACCTTTCAATATATATGTATATATTTCTAATTTTTTTTAAAAAAGTTTATTTTTGCTTGCATGTCTTTACATAAATAAATAAATAAATATCTCCTGGTTTTCCAGACAACAATACAGCCGTACCATAATAAGTTTCAAGAAGGGTCATAAAATCGACTTAAGAAAAAAGCAAAACCCACACCAAGTTAAACCGTTGCTGTCTGCCCCAGCTTCGTACTGAAATCCCCTCCTGCTTCTAAAGGAAACCTCGCGGGAAGCAGGATCTAGATTTTACGTCAAGCAAGAACCCGAAGGGAAAGAGAAAGGGAGGGAAGGAGAAAAATGCCAGGCTAGGAGACAGCAAAGCCGAGGGATCCCCAGACACTGGCAGCGATGAACCAAGTTGACCCTTCCTCCTCTTCAGAGAAAGAGGGAGGTCGGCGTTGTGTCAACCTCCATTGGCTAACTATGGTCAATCTCAGCCCACTCCGTAACGGAGCAGGCGAGGAAGAAAAGCTGTTTCGGAGAGCGAATATATGACACTCCCCTTCACCAACAGGCTCTGGAACAGGGCACGCTCGTGGCGGGCGGGGGCGGCGGGGGGTATTTACATCGGACCTATAGACCGTCCATGTCCATTCCATCTCTTGGAGACCGGGGGGGGGGGGCACAGAACTAAGTTGCCCGGGCGGCAGAGGCGTCACACCTTAGGGAGTGACGGCGAGTTCTCTCTCGTCCTTGCCCGAGGAAGACGGGGACATGGGCGAGTCCTCCTCGTCTTCGGAGCACTTGGCCGCGGCTGAGAGGGAGGCGCACTTACAGCCGGGGGCGGCCGATCCCCCGGCGCGGTGGGAGCCGCCCTTGCCCTCCTTCTTGTGCTTGACACGCCGGTTCTGGAACCAGATCTTCACCTGCTTCTCGGAGAGGTTGAGGTAGGTGGCAATCTCGATGCGTCTCAGGCGCGACAGGTACATGTTGGAGGCGAACTCTCGCTCCAGCTCCAGCAGCTGCGTGCTGGTAAAGGCCGTGCGCATCCGCTTGCTGCTCGGCAGCTGGCCTGACGTGCTGTCTGCGGGGAGGCAAAGCGTAAAGTTAAGAGCGGCAGGTCCAAGCCAGCTTGGCCCGCGGGCAGGCAACCCTTCCCCAAAGACCACTAGCGAGGATGGAAGCTTAGCGCGGACGAGTTGTCGTCACAGCCATGCTGAACAGACCCTCCTAGAAATCGCTACTGCACCTTCTGGATACACAGAAGTGACCCTTGAAATGCAGTTTTCCCTGGGCTTGGAAGACTGCGGGAGCGACGAAAGCAAGGATTATCCGTCTAACGCGCAGGGTGGGAATGACAAGGGATCCTACAGAGAAGCGCGTGTTCCCAGCCGGGCATTTTGGCCACGACGCGTTCCCCACTACCTGCTAGCTCGAGGCCATTACTCGAACATGTCTCTATGAGCTGCGGGGGG